ATTACACAATTATAGAAACGTCAATTGTATATTAAGTTATCTATCAGCTACGATTTTTATGAAAGTATTTTGTCGTTACTACTATTATCATTTAAACACAATAAAAAAACATTTTGACTCACATCGCCACAATAACTTAAGACTTAATGCACGAAGTGTATTTACCGGACGAATGAAATATTATAGTTTTGACTATTTTCGTGTTTTCTTCTTATTCGATCAGCTTTTTGCTAACCAAGAAAATTCCTTTCATATGTATAGATTAGTTTATATTTTAGGTAACTGTCACTGGGTTAGGCGATTTTGGTGGTAGAATAAATTTGTATATTCTTAAGAGGACGCCACACCGGCCATTTCTAAGGAATAAAGTATAGGCAATTTTTCGAAAAATTTTAATTTAGAATTTGAACTATAATGTATACTTATTCGTACAGTAATGAGGATACATTGTTGATTACCATTTTTTTTTTGTTAGACTATCACATTCATGTTTATAGGATAAATTACAATTTTTTTCCCATCAAAACTGCTTTGCGTGGATTAATTGACAATGTTGTTGTCAGTATTATGTAAAAATTTGGTTTCTTAGTTTTGATTATAGCCTTTGTAAAATTAATCCGCACAAGGCGGTTTTTTTTTAAGAAAATAACGGGTGTGTGACGTCCTCTTAAGTCAGTGTCAAACTTTTTGCCCCAATCCCACTGTTCTGGCTTTTAGCTTCGATGCGTTCACCCGTTCCCGTTCAAAATCGAGAAATGTACACATTTTTCAGCATATTAGTCATATTAGTTCCAAGTTAGGAATATTCCTTAGATATTATAGCTTACTATCCAAGTTGAAAAACCCAGCAAGTCGATCGGATAAGTGGTTCCTGAACCAACCGGGTACGAAGATTTTATTTTCATACTTTTTATATACACGGATCAATCACAGTGCAATGTGTAATTTTTAAATTTTATTTCGGTAACTCGAAAATTAGCCCCCCTCCAAAATCAAAGTTTCTATTATAATATTATACCAAAAGATTATATTTTCACATCATCATTGTCAATGACGAATGATTATTTTGGGGGTACCCTAGTTTCGTAATAGATTCGGTATCTACAGACTGATAATAATAATAATATTTAGATATTGGTTTTGAGGTCGCCTAATTTTACATTATCTTAAAGTAACCGTTTTTTGAAAAATATGTTTATCGTAGGTATTGTTTTTTTGTACCTATTCAAAGGTTTGAACTATTTTATGTCAGAACCGTAGAACTCTGATATTTCAATAATTATAGCGAATAACTATTTTGTACATTAAGATACAATGCCATTCTATTCAAGTGTCCTAATGGAAACGTTTATTATTACTATACTTAATATTACATTTAATTTGATTGCATAGAAAATGTACAACAATAATATTTTCTTAACCGCGACTAATGAAGACGAATTAAATTAATATTTCGGAAAATATGAACACAATAATAAAAAACGTGTTCACTAAAATACAAGACACGTGTAGGTGGAAAAAAAACATTTGTTTAAGTGTTATTATTGGTCTTTATACAAAATACGTATTTGCTATAATATTTGTAATAATATGGTTCGCACCTTGCACGCAAATTCAAACGTTAAAAAAAAAAAAAAAAATAACAGTAAAACGCTGTCCTATCGTAAAAACTTAAAAATGTGCAATGCTAACAGTTATTAATTGTCTTTTATTTACATCATCAAACGATACAAAAATTATACCTGAGGCACTCCATGGATATGCCAAATCACTTGATGTGTGTGCGAGTGGATTGTCTAAATGCCTGAAAATTATATATCCTATGCAAATAGTTCCACAAAAGAGAAGAAAACATTTTTTAATTTTTTATTACAAATTTCAGAGGTTTTGGTTTAAGCCCTAAGAAGTTATAGGCTCTTCAATATAGCACTTTTCAGTAAAATTCCAAACATTGAAGTTACTTATAAATAATAAATAAAAAAAATTTTAGTAAAGTTTGATGTATCAAAATAAAATACAAATTATTCGAAATATTGACCTTGAGACTTATTTTTACTAAGAGCTGTACAGAAATGATTTTTTCAAATTTTGTTTGCTACATTGATGAGCCTACAACTTCTTAGGGCTTAAACCAAAACTCTGAAATTTCTATATCACCATTACTTATATGTATATACTATATAAAACATCTGGTATAAGCTTTATAACGGACACTTATTTTTATTTTTACTTGGAGTTGTAAGAACTTGAATAAAACGATGTTATGCGTAGTTCTATAATACGAAATTTGAAAAATTCAAGTTCTTACAACTTCTCGTAAAAATAAGTCCCCATTACCATACTTTTACCAGATTTCCTATTTAAATATAAGTGCTGTACAAATTTCAGAATTTTTAGTTCAGACCCTAAAAAGTTGTAGGCTCTTAAATATTGTACTTTTTAATAAAATACTCAAACTTTGAAGTTATTTATACATCATAAAAAAAAAGGTGTATCGAATCAAAAGAGTGTAATTAGATGTGTAAGAACAATTCATTTTTTTTTGTTGAAATTTTGGCCTTGAGTCGACATAAAATTGTAATAAAATGTATACAATTTTGAATTTTTTGTTTTACGATTTTTAGTTACTTAAAAATTTCAAATTTTTTTTTTAAGGATATTATGAAAAAGAACACATAAATTACAATTGTAATATCTTATATATTTATATTGTATAGATAGAATCACTTTCAATTAATAAATACTGATGTGTATCTGTAGATATAAATATATATAAAATCATTGGCAATAATGTGCTTAAACTTGTATATTTTGTAGTATAAGGGTGGTACAATTAGAGCCAGAGCCATTATTTTTTTTTTTTTGGTTTTTCCAAAAACATCATAAATACCATTTTTTGCAAAAGAAAATTACCAAACAACATGTTGTATATTGCATGTAATATTCACATATTTAAGTATACATTTATACTTAAAATATTAGGGCTGGGGAGCTCACGGGTCTACATGAATTACTGAAAGTGATAAAATCACATTAAAATAAACGCATTATGGTAGATATATTATAAGTTTTGTCAACGTTTTGCTGGATTGTATATTTTACACTTTCAATTAGCACATAACCGCATTAAACAACTACTCTTGGATAAATAGTGTGTGTACCAAAATATTAAAAAAAATAAATAAATGGTAGTCAATACTTTTTTTTATGAAAAACTATGTAAACCAAATGAATAATAATACAAAAACCATAATTTTTGTTTTCATAACAATGAATTTTATCTTTATCCTAATGCTGCATTTTTTCTTGGGGATCCTAAACATTTCTACATCCATTTAAAACCTTTTGACAATATTATAGATTTTTATGATAAAAACCTATAATATTGTAAAATTTTTATCACGGCGTTTATTGTTTTAAATTATTGTATATGTATTGTTTCATACACGGTAACGTATTGGAAATACGTTTTAGGTTGTGTTATTTATTTAAAATAAGAAGAAAATATGGTGTAATGTGCTTTTATGTATGCTTGTTCAAATAGTTACCCGTTACTCATACACCAACGCACTAAATAAGAAATATATCCAAAACAAAAACCACATCTTTTACAATGACCTAGTTATATTATTTGAAGTCTCCAAAGTTAAAACGGTTTTCATTATTATTATATTTTGGGGCCATTTATTTTTTTCTCGAGCAATTGTAATTGTAAGAAAATTGCCAGTATTCCGAATTTAGTTGTACATATGTAATTTATAACATCTTGGACCAATATTAACAAACCCTTTCCTCTAGAAGGGGTAGACAATTTTTTTTTATTTATCATTTTTGAGCAAATTTTCAGGTCTTTAGGTCTGAAGGTAGATCTAGTGAGGCGCTATAACGTGTACAATTTTCTGTAGTCAATCGTACCCACTCTAATACTTAAAATTAATTTAAAGCACAATATTGACAATACTTTTATATATCACACCATCGGTGCAAGACCTGCACAGCTCAAAAATTGGATATTTTTAGTTAAACCTACAGTATAGACCCGTAGTGTACTGCTATAATTTTGATTTACAAAATGGATTACCGCCACAAGTCTTAACCCAACCAACGCCTCTATTATACATTTGTGTCGGTATTGACTTTGTTCATTTTTGCAGTTAAAAACAATAATACATAAAAATGTAGCACATGTTTAGATACTGCTTAAGATGTTTTTATAGTTAAGCATAATAAATCAAGGCTGCCTTATTTTTATTTGAGGCGTTTTAATGCAATAATTATTAATCGGGTGAAACCTTTTGCTAAATCGCCATCACCTCAATTCTCGGTGTCTAGTTGAGAATCCTTTATGTAGCTTAAAATTAAAATAACAAGCATCGGATTACAATAACAGTTGCAAAGTATTAAAATTAAAGTTTTAGAACTAATCTTTTGGAAGCAGTTTCAGTCTTAAAATTGAATTTCCTTAAAACTATATTTTTTTCGACTTGTGGAAATATTTTTAGTATGTTTTTCAGATCTTAATTCCATGAATAAGACTTGTCACTTCTCCGATCATAATATTAAGTTCCATCCCAATAATACCCAGACTCCACTCTGTTGGTTTATTTAAAATTTTGAATTCAATTAATAATAATAATAATAATAATAATAAAAAAAAAATGGAATATTAGGTATTATAAAGATTTGCAATTGTTGCGTTAAATTATCACAACCATTTGTGAACAAGCCTAATTTGTTTTTATCAAGCTATGAATACTACCTTACTAATCACACAAGTAAAAATTGGAAAAATATTTTTACTAAACCAACTAGTTCCGTGGTAGCAGTGTTATCAATATTTTAATGGAATATAACAAATGTAAATTTCCTAAGAGTGACTTTACTTTTTAAAATATTTTTTTTTGAGATTTCTTATTATAGAGTATTATGTATATAAATAATATTTATAGAACATTGATTTTTGATATTAATAAAATTATTTTATTTTTATTTTACTCGCAACACAAGAGACATAATTGATTTTATCTATACAAATTGACAGCAAATAGTAATTTTATTTGAAAGTTAGATTACTTTATAGATTGGTACCTAGATAGTATTTACAAGTATTAATTCTGTGGAAACTTATTTTTAGGTATGGCCAGGACTATTTGCGATTCACCTTATGATAGTCATTAACCATCACTTAAGTTCTCGACACTGTCTTCTCGCAGCTCTCGCTTGTCGCAATGTCTTGCCACCCATTTCAGCATATTCAACACAGAATCGATGTCCGGTAAACGGTGTTCAGCTGAGGTTTCAACTATATTAGACGCATCTACGCGGAATGTAACAGCCGTGCCTTTCAACGCCTAGTATGTATAAACAAACACACATTGATAATTAGTTATTTTGAAATGGGTTTGAAAATTCTAATTTACCTTCATGGCGTCTTCGTCCACCACATCATCTCCAACAAAGATTATACGAATGTGTTTTTTTCTCCAATCCCGACCGAAGGCCTTGTCTAAAATGTGCAAAGCTGCTTTCCCTTTGTTCCAATCTACGTAAGGTTTTGCTTCGAGTGCACAATGAGCTTCCATCACTTTTAACCCAGCTACTTCAATGAAACGCTGAGCTTCTGACACAAGTTTGGCACGGAGGTCTTCTGGTACTTTACGATAATGGAAAGTCAGTATAGTGCCTTTGTTTTCTACCCAAGCACCGTGTTTGCAAACCTACAAAATAATTTTAAAAAAACGGCGACAGTCATAAAAAAAATCACACAACTTTCAATGCTTTCTTAGCTAAACATTGTGAACTATGAAATGCAGTGTTTGTTGTAATGAACGGCAAGTATTACATACCCGATCTTGGAGACATTTTAACAATTCTGTGACTTTTTCTCTATACTCATTGGGCAGTGGATGTACATAATTGGTACCGTTGGGAAAGAGAATTTCAAGACCACTGTTACCAGCATATGTTAAACCGTCGATACCGACCTAAAATTATTTAAATTATCTGTATTACATCACATTATCTAACGCAAAGTACACAATTTCATTAACGAACCTTGTTTTTAACATCATCTAAGCCTCGTCCCGAAATTATTGCTATGTACACATTTGGCATTTTGGCCAATGTTTGTAAAACATTTTTAGTCTCAACGGGTAATGTAGCCAAGTCAGGATGTGAAACGATTGGAGTTAATGTTCCGTCGTAGTCCAGTAATAATGCGAGATTTGTTGAGTTTCCAATGTACCTAATAATTCAAATTTCAATAAAAACATATTGTAATAGTTAAGATGAACAAGTATTTACTCTGATAAGTAAGCATCGAAGTCTTGTAAAGAAACTGATTGCATGATAGTTTGTACACCGTCTCCATTTTTAGCTATGTGTAAATTAATAATTTGCTTTACTTACAATATTATATATTTAAAACATACGGGTTTATATGTAAACATTTTATACATTATATAGTATTAGAGCTGGATCTAATATTATTTCTTTATATTGTCTTTATATTAACAATATATAAAGTATAGAAGAATACATTAAAAACCAAAATATAGCAAGCAAAATATTGTGACAAAAAATAAAAGAGCAACTGAAAAGGATTTATCCAAAAAATTGAAAAACAATGATTTAATTCAGAATTGTTTTTCAAATTCACGTTCGATTAAGTAGGGTTTAGTAGTAAACTACTAAGGGTTAAAACCCTTTTTTGTGCTATGGACATAATTAAGTTAAAACTAGCTTTAGATACAGTGATGCGCTGTAGTCACTTGTCCTTTTTAACTAGCACTCGAGAAAGGAGTCGGATCAATACGTAAAGACATGGTTATTTAGTCTAATTGCTTACACAGGACTAGAATTAGTGACAAGAACAGTTGACATTTAAAGTAACCATTGGGCTTGGGAGTGAGTAACAAATAAAGTATTTAGCCATGCGTAGAAAAAAAATTAACAATTAAAAACTTAAAAGATAATAAAAAATGTATGACAATGTGAAAGATTGCTCAATAATACCAGGAAAGTGACTTTATGTAGTAATTATTTAATTTTATTAAATGATAGTTGAATTCTTAACTTAAGAAACCAAAGTAAAAGTTAACTACTACAGTACAAAGAATTATAAACCATGCAGTAAGAAGTTTACAAGTGATAATCAGTGATAATTGTGTACTTACGCGATGGTGGTACAGTTGTATCGTTATCGCTAATACAACTATCAACTAATCGTGGTTTTTTTTGAGCTAAAATAAAAGAGGGAAGTGATTAAAAGAGTAGTCATATTTAAAAAAAATACAATTTCCTATATATTTGTTAAATACTTTATAAGATAAGAAATTTATGCTTTACTTTATTACAGATCCTATTTAAAGTGTAGAAAAATATTTCTTAAATGAGAAGCTTAATAACACAGTTTCTGTATCTTTCACAATAATTGTATTAAATTATTAAAAACACAAATAATTTTAATAATAATAAATATATTCAATCTCAAACAAATTAAAAACATAAATCATACCTGGCTGATTTGCAATATCGGTATCTTGATCTTTGAATAAAAATTGAGTAAATTATTAACAAAAAAAAACCCTCTACACATTATAAGTAATAAGAACAATACATAGATAACTGGTAAAAAACACTGCAATTTAGTTTTCCTTAATAACCAAAATTTCTAGGTTTTTGCTACTATTCTAATTATATAAGATAGGTAACACTGTATTTTATACGATTTAAATATAATATAAAAAAAAAAAAATGCACAGTAAGAATTAAGTTAAAAATTATTTAGTGACTAAATATGATTTAAAATAAAAAAGCTAGGATAGTGGGAACGGGGAAGTCACAAGTCTACAGGAATTATTTTAACTGAAATGATACAATCACTCTCATATAATTGCGTTGTGTGTTTATAAGTGTGTCAACTTTAATCAAATGGAAAAAAAAAATTCCACGAGGATGTACTAAGAGTTGAGCCAGGGATTTGAAATCTTGGGGATTTCTTTGATTAAAATGGGTACTAATAATTAAGGAGAGGTGGAAGGTCTTCTAAGAAAATATTTTTTTTTTTGGAAACAATTTTTTTAGGTACATTGTAGATAGTTGTGTTTGGCCAAAATAGATATTAATTATTTGTGTATCGAGTTGGCCTGGAATACTAGATGAAAGAGATTATATGATAAGACCATTAGATAAGTTATTTATTTTTAAAGAATATATTTTCTTAAAAATGTCTAATTTTTAATAAAAAAATTAAATAAAGAGCAACATTAATTATATAACATAATTTGGTGTGTAAAAAATGTAATAACTTTGTATAAAGATTATAAGCAATATCTAAAGAATTTGGATTGTAGTTTAAACTGTAATGTCATACAGTATTATTTAACGTATTTTATGTACAAACAATTTTCTTTAAGAAGTATTACTAAGTAGCAACCACCAAGAAGTAGTTATATTTATGTATATATTATATACATATATTATATAATAATAATGTTCCATACTTATTATACGATTACAATGTATAATACTATGTGTTCACCTGCTTTACGTTTACTGCCATTAACAACTAAACAAAAAAAAAAAAATAAACAATTTTTATTATGAAAATATTAACTAGCAAGTCAATATGTTTAAATAACATTGTTTATAAGTATTTCGTTCATTTTTTATTTTAAGTATAAGGGGCTAGGTTTTAGCATATGCATAAAGTTTGAAAAAACAATAACAAGCTAGAAGCTCAAGCTTTCATAATATCATGAAAAGCAAATCACATACAATAACAATGTGAAAGACAAATACAATTATTACCCGATAATGATAGAATGATAATTGCTGCTATTGCAACTGAAAAACAAATAGATTTAAAAAAGGCCATCATATAGTTTGCTTTTTCTGATAAAGTTAGTTTGTGGTGTTAACTGTTCAGTAATCCAACAAGTATAAAAGTGTAAACTTATGGATAGATATTATACTAATATAAATATATAAAATATACGAATACATTACAGACGTATAAAGCACATTAACTGTGTAAAAAACATTTCCATACCTTAAATATTGACACAATTCTGCCTCGAAACGTACAATAACAAGTTGTTTTGTACAAATTAGTTCTTTGTTTAACTAACTATATACCGAATGGTTAAGGAATGATAATTATGAATTACCATTATCGCCGCATCGTCCAATTGGCGATAACACTCTAAGTAGGAATAATTATTAGACCGTAGTACTTTGCTAGGAAGCTAGAAGTCACTATAAATGATTTTGAAAATTGAAATAATGATAGACAAACGGTTTTTATCTTCAGATTTCCCACCTGTTCCAACCATTGACCTATAAAGAAATGGACTGATAGTAGAGAGAGACAGGTCGGAGGGTCAATATCGTTAAAAAAAGATAGAGAGTTTTGTTAGGTATTCCATGGAAGAATAATAATAATATCATGGAAAATTAGTAATATGATACCAGATAACGACATTTTTATATCAAAAATGTTTAATTAATTTCATTAAAAATATGTCGAATTTTAATTTGTTTTCCATAATGGTGTAATAATGCATTATTCGTATACAGGATATAAAACTTAGTAGAGACTGAACTGGCTATTAACTGATGTGGTTAGAGCTTACTACAGAATTACAATTATTATATTATTAATTCAGTTAGTTATAACCTTAATAATTATTGATTACTGTGCTATTCGAAGTTGTAAAGTATTTAAGTAAATACGCTTCATTTTATTGTTGGGTATTGAATACTTTCTAATGATGTATTGTCTTAAATAGATAGGTATAAAAAAAAAAATAATTTTATTGAATTTTATCAATAAACATTCTGTTTTACTTTTTATAAAACGTGTAAGTATGTTTTGCAAAACATTTCTTCTTTACAAATTCAAGAGACAATTTACTGTTGATAAATTATCATTCTAATATATTTTAAATATTATTTTACACATTTTTTTTTTTTTTTATAAATTTAGATGCAGATCTGTGAGGGATTTCCACTCTCAGACATACGTAATAACTTATTGACATTTATATTAAAGTACGTTATTGAATTCTTATTAAATTTAGTATTTAAAAATACATTTTTAATTTTTTATTTAAGTTATACCTACTCAAATTGTTTTTTTAAAAAAAAAAAAAAAACTAAAAGTATGTGTTTTACAATATTACCTAAATTAATATACTAATTTATCAACAGTAAATTATCTCTTGAGTTTATAAAGATCAACTTTTTTTCAAAACATAATCGTTTTATAAAAAGTAAAACAGAATGTTCATTGATAAAATTTTAATAAAATTACCATTTTTCTGTTTAGGTATTTCATACCGATAATTATAACAACGTTGTCAAGTATTAAACGGTTGTATACCACAACATATACAAATATTTTATAGATGAATTGTGATTTCATTGTAGATACTATGATAAACTTGGAAATTGTATACAAAGTGCGAATTTAATTCCCACTCTAGTTTTACTTATCAGCATATTATTCAGACTTTAATTCCAAGAATTAGACTTGTACTAAGTAAAAAAAAAACAGGTCTTTCGACATAAGCCTTACAATATATTATGATATAATATGGAAACTAAGTATAACCATAGATAAGATGAATTTTTTAGTATTGTTATATTATATATACAAATATAAATATTCAATAGAGAGCAAAAGTACAGGATATACACAATATTATGGGAATAAATCAGCAACAATAATATACACATAAAAAAATACAATGTAAGAAAAGAAAAATGAGAAAGAAAGTGAAAAATCCATATTTTACATCGTAGCCTGTACCTCATATTTAAATCAAATACAATCTGTTTATGAAAGCGACAATTAATGTAGACATTAAAATATATTTCCAACACCTATAGTAAATTTAGTTTTTTAAATTAATTAAATTTAATAACAGCCTAGCCACAAAGAGAGGTAATAATATTTTTCACGATATTTCCTTATTTTTTTTTTTACATTAGAGCTTTAGTAAACACTAAATAGTGTACTCTCGTCCATCCATGCGTCTTGGCCCGTATAATTGATTCATTAACTTAGTTTTTGGTAAAGAAGTAGTTGAGTTTAAACAGCTGTTATACAGAAACGTCACAAGTGCAATTATACTCTTGTGTCTATCCAACGGTCTCCATTTCATTAATTTCTTCGTCGATGACCAAGCGAAACCAATCGTCGTCGTCGTCGTCGTCGACAGTCGAGTCCGACATGTAGTCCACTAGATATTCGTCAAAATCGACCATCACAGGATCAGGTCGTCTAAAGAATTGTTTAAATTATTTAAAACAATTTTTTTTATGAGTTCCAATTTAAATTTCATATCACGCAAACTACTAATAATATACATAAAATACTACGCCATATATCAATTAAAATCAAAAACCCCTATTGAAAATCAGACGCTTCCAAACTTATTGGACATCTTATATGTCTGTAAGTACACCGAGTAGATTGAATCAGAGCGGACACTTAATCGTTGGCGCAACTAGTGGAGGGGGGGGAGAGCTAAGGAAGTTCAGACCTTTTAAAAACCCTGGAAGCTCAGAATTTCAGTAAAAATTATAAACCTTACTTGGGGCTGTGCCCGATTGATTTGAATTTCCCTAGCCCCACCCCCTCCCCCTTTAGGTGCGTCAATGCACTTAATGTAAACAATGATTTTCGGGTAGATATCTATGCACAACTAATGTACAAAAACAACATTATACTGATTGATAAACTATAAAATATGGCATCTACGTTTTTGTATGTATGCGTGTGTGTGGTGCTGTGTGTCGGTTGTAGTAATACAATAATAATATTGCGTTATACACATTAAGAAGTCGATCGGTTACCTCCGTCTTCTTATCCGTGGACGTCCTACACCGTCGGAGTCGACATTTGGTCTGTGGTCGTCCGAGTCGATAAATTCGAAATAGCTATAATAATTATTGTAAGTAAACATTTATTTTTTGTTATTAACACCAGACTGGTGATTTGGCTATTGGTCGGCGCCTTACTCGTGTATTGGGATCGGTGGTACAATTATTCTAGCGTTAAAACTACGACGACGTTCCTCGACAGACAGTCGAGCCAGTTGGCAGAGTAGTTGGGCCAACTGCTTCGGGCAAACACTAGACAGGGATAGTGTGTCAAAGTGTTTCCCGCACGACGCCGTAGTCGGCGGTCTCACGTCTCTGGACCGTTGGTTTTGAGTACTCCAGGCTGAAGTTCCAGGTAACGGCTCAATATCCATTTTGAAATCGCTAGAAACGTGTCTCCTAAAACATATGAATTTAAACGGTATGAACATCGATAACCATTGCCCAGCCGGTGAGAAAATAAATGCAAGCAAAGCGTCACATGACGTTACTATAACTCAATACCTAACCTGGACTGTCAACATTACAACTACACAAATATCTCTCGAATTAAAGCATCTCTGTTAACGATAAAATTCTTATATGTCCTGCAATGACGTGCGACATCCAAATTTGGCGATCGACAAACACCTCGAACCTAAATGTATTTCAATCATTTAAACCGATTAATCTCCGTTTATTAACTAACGCTCCACTGGTACTCTCACGCCGGCCTCGACTTATACCCCTTTACCCAAACACCGCAGAAATATCCCAGTCAATACAAGTATAGCTAAATACTTTAATCTCTTGCTCGCTGGTTGTTCGTCATCGTCGTCCTCGGAGTCGGAATTCGGTCTTTTTCTTTTTAGCGGACGCTCTTGTTCTTTGTACATCTCGCTGTCGATCTCTTCGAGTTCCATACCATTTAATTCCGGATCACTAATTATACATAAATTGTTGATTTGAATTTTATTTTATATTAGTAGGTGGGTTACTCGATTCTTTGGGAGTAGTATTCGATAGCTTCCGTTATAATACTATCGCTATCAGAATCGCTCGAGTCCGGACTGCGATCAGCCGGATACGTCCTTTGGACGAACTCAATGTCCATGGAACTTGGGTTTTGTTTGCTGAATGGCGGCATGTTAGTAAGTTCAATAGATTAAGTTTTCACGAAATAATTATTATGAAAAACAACAAAATAATTTTATAAAAAGTAAATAATAACAATTAGTTATATTAAATAAGTCTTTATAACAACAGTTTCAACAAATTATATACACCAAAAAAGAAAGTTAAATAGATATTTTATCGTTTGAAAGGTACACAGAAAAACATAAAAAATAAAATCAAATTTATGTATAGTAAACAATTTTAAATAAGTTGTTTAAATAACAATTATAAACAAAATCTTGGATACGAAAACGTGTATGCATTTTTTAAATTATACACAGCAGCTGATTGTAAAATAGGAGATTATTATTTTGTTATACAGTGAGCTAGGCTAATGTTTTAATTTAAACTACCGAGAATGGTCGTAATAATAACACTATTTCTATTATTTTACTACAATGATGTAATATTGAAACATTGTATCAAAAACGCTTCTGGAGAACTGTGTATAATTTGGTTTTTTAAGTGTCACTAAAATTATAAGACAGCTACTCTTACCGAGATGGGCAAATTAAGTCAGTTCATAACAGACCAATAAATAATAATAAAACAATATTGGAAACAATAGTAAAAAAAACGTAGTAAATAGAATCTATACATTTATGCAACCGGCCATTAGTATTGTTAAAAGCTTTGCGACTTATCAGACCACCGTTATTTAGATCTATCTAGTATCTAAGGGAAGACCTTGTGGTTTCCAGTTCAGAACTTTTGTGATCGTTTATGCCTCGGTACGTTGCTTAACCAGCTAAATCTTTTACTTATAATTTTAATAAAATATAACAAATGTAAATTTTTCAATTGTGATTTTATTTTTTAAAAAATATTTTAAACATTTCCAAATATTTAGGTACTCTTATGGACAGATAGTATTTACAATAATACATTTTGTAGAAACTATTAGGTGAAACGCAAATGGACCTAAAATAGTTTCAGGTGCGCCTAAAATAATTTTAGACGACCATTTCTAGACAAGTCTACAATCTACACATTTTCTACAAACTGGTAATGTAGGTACGTTTATAAAACTTTTAGTGTCATTATATTATGCATTTATAGGTATTTAAGATAACTATAGAATGATAGCGTAATATTATAATTTATTAGTGTAATATTTAAGTATAGATTTTGTCGAAACTGATTTTTAGGTATTCCAAAGTCCATTTTCGTTTTGCCCAATGATAATTATTAATTATTACTTAAGTTTCTATCACTGTCTTCTTGCAGCATTCGCTTGCCAAAATGTCTTTCCACCCATTGCAGCATAGCTAGCACAGAATCAGGGTTCGATAAGTAGTGTTTAGCTACGGAATCAACTTTATTAGACGCATCTACGCGGAATGTAACAGCCATATCTTTCAAAACCTGGTGGTGAAATTCATAAGCAAATACACAATGATAAATTAGTCATTATGAAATTATTCAAATCAATTTTAATTACCTCCATAGCATATTCGTCATTCACATCATCTCCAACATAAATTATAGCAATTTCCCTCCAATTTTCTGGGAAGAATTTGTTTAAAATGTACAAAGCTGCTTGCCCTTTGTCCCAATCTACACAAGGAATTGCTTCAAGAGCGCAATGTGCCTTACCCGCTTTAAACTCAGCATCTAAAATGAGATACCGAGCTCTTTCCATCAGTTCAGCATGTAAAACTTCAGGTGCAGCACGGTAATGGTAGGTCAGCGTAGGTCCTTTGTCTTCTACCCAATCACTATGTTTGCAAAGCTAAAAAATAAAAAATAAATAATTGCATTCCCCTACTAGGAATACCGAAAAGTGGCCACAAAGAAAAAATTATACAACTTTCAATGCTTTCTTAGCTCCATATTGTGAACTATGAAATGCAGTGTTTGTTGTAACGAACGGCATGTCTTACATACCTGGGCTTGGAGAGTTTCTATCAATTTTTTTAATTTTTCTTGATCCTTTTCGGATATTGGATATTTAAATTCGCCACCATCGGGAAAACTAATGTCAAGGCCAGTGTTACCAGCATAAGTCAAACCTTCGACACCGATCTAGAATGATTTTAATTATCTGTATTACATTATATCTAACGCAAAATACACAATTTAATTAACGAACCATATCTTTAAGATCACCTAATCCTCGTCCCGAAATTATTGCGATGTGCACATTTGGCATTCCGGCCAATGTTTGTAAAACATTTTTAGTCTCATCGGGTATTATAGCCAATTCAGGACGTGCAACGATTGGAGTTAATGTTCCGTCGTAGTCCAATAATAATACTATCTTACTCTGGTTTCCAATGTAGCTAACAATTCCAGTTTGAATTAAAACCTATTGCAATAGTTAACATGTACAAGTATTTACCCGGATAAGCAATCATCGAAGTTGTTTACAGCTAATGGTCGCCTTGTAGTTGGCTCATCGTCTTCTTTTTTAACTTTAAATATGCCAATAAGTAGTCTACATTACTTACAATATTATATTATTATATTTTTAAACCTTCCGGGTTTTTATGGACATATATTATATATTATACAGTATTAAAGCTGGATCTAAATTATTTCTTTATATTGTATAGCTGGTTATACAATAGAAGTAGCGACAAGAACAGACGATTTAAAGCAACCTAACCATGGGGCCTATGAGTAAACCGAACAAATAAAATATTTAGCTTTCTATAGAAAAACAAAGGACGTATCAAATATCTAGTTCTACAAAATTATAGCTTTCAGAAAGTGAAAAATTTCAAATTTGGGAGTGAATATAAATCAACAATATAAAATGCATAACACTAAATGAAAATAAATTGATGAAACAAGTGTTATTATGCCTTGGAAAAATTATTGAAGTCAATTTTTTTTAAAAACGCCTGTCATGCGTTTTGATTTGTGTACGCATGTTAAAAAAATGTCGTCTTTGTAATGTTGATAATGTTGTAATGTCTTTGCTACCTTTCTATTTATATAATTTAACGCTGAAATTTGTGTTCTACATTATTACAAATTCTATTTAAAATGTATAAAAATATTTCTTAAATTAAGCTTAATAACATAATTTTTGTATCGCTTACAATTATTATTGTATTAAAACATACCTGACTGGGAGGCATGATCGGTATCTTGATCTTTGAACAAAAAAGAGTAAATTATTAAAAGAAATTACTCTACACACTGCTAGGTTTCACTATTCTAATTATATATGTATTTTCATATGATATAAGTTAAAACTTCTTTAAACGATGAAAGAAACGCCTGTCCTACGTTTAGATTTGGTATACACATGTAAAATATGGTCGGCTACATAAGGACACGAGGAATAAAAATGTCTTGTTTTTAAAGAAGTGTACTAAGACGGATATATGGACCTATTTTTGAAATATTAAGTGTACAGAAGGAAAACAAATACAAATGTGCAACAAATCTACCAACAATTCGGAATAAATGCTTACCTGATAAGTAAACTACCCCAGTGGGAGGTCTTGTCAGGAAGTCAAACGAAACCTTAAATAAAGCCTTGGAAAGTATGATAAATAAGTGAAGATCTAGGGGTTACCCTAAACAGTGATAAGTGGAGAAAATCAAAGATAATTTAAACACATGTACTCAGGGAATAACAATAAAATATAGCGAGGACACAGGACAGCAAGTGATAATTAGTGATAATGGTGTACTTACGCGATGGTGGTACAGTTGTATCGTTATCGCTAATACAACTATCAACTAATCGTGGTTGTTTTTGGGCTAAAAAAAAAGAGGGAAGTGATTAAAAGAATAGTAATATTTTAAAAAAATACGATTTCCTATATAATATTTACAAATCCTATTTAAAATATTTAAAAATATTTCTTAGTTTAGGCTAAATAACATATTTGGGTATCGTTCACAATAAATGTATTAAATAACTAAATATAAAAATAATTTTAATGGTAATGAATATATTAGCCCTGAAGTAAATTAAAAACATAAAACATACCTGACTGGATGGCATGATCGGTACCTTGATCTTTGAACAAAAAATGAGTAAATTATTAAAAGAAATTACTCTACACGCGGCTAGGTTTTACTACTATTCTAATTATATAAGTAAACGATGTATTCTTACATGATAAAAAAATTTGTAACAAATGTAAATAAGTCGATTTCAGTGATTGAATATGGTGTTTTTTTTGTTTGAGCGATTTTAAGCTTGAAAAAACCACTCCAGTACCTCTAAAGTATACATCAATATAAGAGGATTATAAAAAAGTCAAATGTTTTAATGAAATCCTGATTTATGACAGCTGGTCAAAGTTTAAAAATCGCTCCCCTGTAAAATCATTGCAATCAACTTACACACTTATTTACAGTTGTTACAGAAATATAATATAAACAAAATGCACAGTAAGACTTTAGTTAAAAAACATCTAGTTTTTACGGTTTAGTGTTTAAATACGATTTAAAATAAAAAAGCCATTACATTGGGGTCGGGGCGTAGTGGGGACGGTGAAGTCACAAGTCTACAGGTGCTGAAAATTATGTGAAGAATTATTCTCAAATAAAAGCTTGTTGCGTATCTGGTTTATACTGTGCTATTTGTTAGTAATTTTCCGCTTTAATCAAATAAAAAAAAACATTGGTGAGGAAGTACTTATTAGATACGAAATAGGGATTTGAATATTTCGTTGATTTGAGTCGGGTACTAAATACAACAAGTGATTTTTAGTAGAAGAATTTAAGTTATTTATTTTTAAAACTATATTTTCTTAAAACATTTCGATTGCCTAATATGATAAAAAAATAGTGTTCTAAATTATTTTACACTGAGTAAATTTTGTATGTTTGCTAACTTGATATTTAAATAAATTGTAATAACTTTGTAAAAATAATATGAGGAATATCTACAGGATTTAGATTGTAGTTTACACTGTAATGCTCTGCAGTGTTATTTAACGTATGTTTTTATAAAATGTACAAAAATCTTCTCAGGTAGTTAAATATATATATATATATATATATATATATTTTACAGGGTGATCATTTTATCGTAAACCACTCAATATCTCATAGGGTTTAATAAGAAACTATGTATAATAATAAATCTAAAATAATAATAATATATATATTATATATACAATGTATAATATTACGTGCTTACCTTCTTTACGTTTACCGCCATTAACAACTAAAAAAAATAAAATGTTAGTCGCTTATGTCATAAGTCGCTTTGCTAATAAAACATATCTATTTTGTTCAAACACAAAGTTTGATAAAACAATAACAAGCTAGAAGCTCAAGCTTACATAATATTATGAAAAGCAAATCATACACAATAACAATGTGAAAGACAAATAAAATTATACGTTTATTACCCGATAACGATATAATGAAAATCGCTGCTATTGTAACTGAAATGCAAATTGATTTAGAAAATACCATCATATATTTTGCTTATTCCGACCGTCAGTTTGTGGTGTTAACTGTTCAGTTATATAAAAAGTATGAGTGTAAAACTATGGATCGATACACTACAATAAAATATAAAAATATATAAACTATGTGAATACGATACAGTCAAAGCAGTGACACAATTTTGCCTCTCGATGTGCAAAAGCATGTTGTTTTTGCAACCTATTTATTTGTTCAAACAACAAGAAGTATTAATTTTTTTTTTATAGTGATTAAATGAAGAAAAAAGACAGTAATGATTTAGATGTAGAAAATAATTATAAAAAAAAAGCCAGCACAATAGTCGGGGGAATTATGCGGCCGGAGACTATTTAAAAAGCCTAACTATACAGGGTGACCCACAACTGGTGTAGGGCGTTAAAAGAATCACCCGATATATAGTGCCGTCTAGTAATTTATTAACTATTTGAACCTTCATACATTTCATCTATTGAACCTGCATACATTTTCGGATAACATTTTATAATTAATACTCATTTCTAAACCTCTCTGGGCACGTCTCTGTCTCGCCTACGCCTTTTTGAAATCCTTCAATAATCATGTATAGGTTTTCCTTGTTCCCTCTATACCTACTTTACTACAAGCTGACACACACAAAACACTGCGCCGGTTCCATCGTTGATTTACCTGTCGTAAAACCGAACCCGTCTTAAAATACGATTTAAGTATATATTTCATTTGGAGATTGGTGAGTACTTAATTAATCATGATCTGTTTTATTTGTAAATTATTCATATCCATCATTAAGCCCATACCTAAAACAATAACCATTAAATTAATTAATTTGTAGGATGACAATTTTATGCGAAACGGGCTCATAGAGATACAAAAGGCGAATTATTCGAAATAGTTTATAATAGCATATCCTATTGCAAACTAGTGGTTAAGATAAAAAAAAAAAAAAAATACACTGTATAAAATCAAAGATTTAATAATAAAAGGCAAGATTTCAACTTTGGTGAGTTCCACGCCACTTGAATAAATATAATAACATAGTTATAGCTATTTGTTGTTTATAAAGGCGGTAGTACAGCTACGCTGTCTGTCGTGGCGTGTGCCTTACATCGTCTTTTGATTGGCCGTAGCAAACATGGAATCTTTAAGTAACCATGACCTACCGGGTTTTTGCTAGAGTTGGGCCGAGCTCTAGTAGGCTAAAATATAATATCTCTATTATATACAGGGTGATCATCATTTAGTTGTAAACCACTCAATATATCATAGGGTTCAATAAGAAATGGGATTTTTAACAGTTTTTTTTTGTTTCAAAAGTTACACAGTTTGATCATAACGTACAGCATATTTACAAATTTAAAATGTAATAATTATGTTACTACAGACTAAAGATTATATCCTATCAGATATTTAATTATTACGTACAGTTTTCGTGCCAACTACCTAGTAAAAAAAAAAAATTACTCTTGACGACGCGACACGGGTAAAAAAATCCTATGAAACACTCTATAAAGGACTATCAAAATGGTTTATTGGTAATAAGGTCTTCTGTATTTGAAGTAGAACAGTATATCAAGTCATGTTTAAACAGATATAAACCTATGCAACCATTTTTTTTTATATTTATAGGAAGTGTAAATAATTCAAAACAAATAATGGTTTTTTTCGATTGTGTTAAATACAATTTTTTTTAATTGCATCAATCTCAGACACTTGTTTTAAGGTTATTAATTTATTCAATTTGGAATACCCTGTTGCATCAGCGTTGTTTCGGCTGTTTTTAATTTAAAAGTTTAACACTATGTAGTGTTTTAGTAATGTTTTTTTTTTATTTCTTACCAAGCCGGCATGTGACTTAACACCAACATATGGCATGCACCATTTTATTTAAAATAATTCTAATGATACCACTGAATTGAGAATAAAATTCTAACCCAAAATGATGTGTCGCGTGTGTCACTTGCCGGCCACTCGGTGGACGCATATGTGGCCAGATACTAAAAAATCATGTTGCATATCAATTCAACAAGACTTTTTCTCTCGATTTCATATCTGTAATTTTTTTTTTGTAATACCATTTTTTAATAAGATGCAAGTTCTATTTTAAATATTTAAAATTTTTTTAAAAAATGAATATCATTTATTGACTATTGTACCAATAGAGCATCATCAATGTCTCATTTGAAGCTCGGTAGAACTACACATTACAACCTGTATTTATAAGATTAGTGATAATAGATATGGTTTATGCAGGGTCATTCTGACAATAAAGTTAGGAGTATCCACACTTCATGCAGATACATTAAGTTACAGGATATTTAAGGATTAACGATTTATATAAGGATAGTCAAATTAATTTGTTAGGTATGCACTTACTTACTGGTGAACCACGGGAATTTTTTTATGATAAATGTTAATTATTGATAAATGTTGCCAGTAAATCGATAAGGGTCAGATATTATAAAACTACTAAAAAACGTTTTGCCAGATCATATAATTAATACTACACTATGATCATGTATCGCAAGTTAATTTTAGATCGAAAATAATCATATAGTTATATGTCAGAACATATCCATGTATTGATGTGTCTACTTCAAGTGTGGATACTCTTAACTGATTTTTTATTATTTTTAAAAAAGCGATTATGCCAAATTTACACAGAATTGAACCATAAGTACACGTGCCCCAGAGCCTTCGAAACCACAAATCATTGTGCCCACTGCCCAACCATCTAATAAGTAACAAACATATTGAAGTCAATTATTTAAATGTGATTTTGTTAGAACCTATATAAAAGGTAATAAGGAATATTTCGTTTATATCATGCTTGTTCAAACAACATTGTACATATTGCTCATACACCCATACACTAAATAAGAAATACATCCGAAACAAAAAGAACATCTTTAACCAATATTGACCTAGTTATGTTATTTGATGTCTCCAAAGTTAAAACGATTTTGATTATTATTATATTTTGGGGCCATTTATTTTGCAATTGTAAATGAAAGAAAATTGTCAATATTCCTAATTTAGTTGTGTAATTGTTTAGAAAAAAAAAATGATATATTAGAACTTATAGAAAACATTCCATCTCTTATGGAATATTTATAAATTAGTATAAATGTTTCGATAGTAAGACGGTTCATACAAATCGTGTGATATAACACACAAAAAAAACCTCATGAAACAAGTCCTTCGGTCGACTAGTATGTAATTTATAACATATCGGACCAACATTAACAAACCATTTCTTCTAGCAGGGATAGACAGTTTTTCTGTATTTCTCATTTTCGAGCAAAGTTTCAGGTCCTTAGGTCTGAAAATTAGACTGGAGGTAAATTTAGTGTTAAATTTTTTCAAAAATCTGTAGTTAAAATGTTTTTGATTAAGGAACCCCCCCCCCCAAAAAATAAGAATGTTACATTTTGATCGTAGTCAATTTCCAGGTTGCTATGTGTGGTAAAGTTGAGGGTAGGGGTGTAAAAATTCAGATCACATTACATAAAAACGCTATGAGTTATCACTCATACTACACTTATTAACTTATCACGGTAAGTTCACGACAAAGATCATTGATTTATACTATTTGAATGAAGCCTTAATTAATTAATTTATTACATTTTCAACACCAACACGCCCTTCAATATATTTTTCAAATTGAGTTTCTTTTTGTTTTATAATTACCTCTAGAGTACACAGATTAATCGAATATTGATTGTGTTATATCAAAATTATACTTTTTAATTACATTATTTATTGCTCATTTTTATTTATTAACAAGTAAGTATTAAAACAATTAAATTAAATTTCAAAAACATGTATTAGATTGTAGAAGTGATGAGAACCAATAATCATCAAGATAACCTATTATCTTGTATATAAATTACTGCTTCTTATACCTACAACAGGTTACCATATGTAAAATATTTAACCTTGGCTGTGTTAGAGGAAAGTTCTTGAATATAATTAAAAAAAGTTATTTTTTAGTTATCGGTATTAACTATTACATTGACCTAACCTGGTAATCTATTATTATTTGCATTGTAATCTAATGACATAACTGTGTGTGAACCCACTATTTCAGTAATTATCGGTATGATTACGGTTGTTTCATTTGAAATCTGAATTTTAATTTTTTTTTTGTCAACTACTTCAATTATTCCAATTTTAAATGATTATCTTATGAAGCTTTTATCATAATTTAACAGTACTTGGTTTATTGTTTCTCAATATTTGTAAGAGTCCTTTCTGGTAGTTTTTATTTTTTAAACATTTTTATTAAAATATGATGGTAAATTGAGAAAAATACAAGGTAGCCTTTGGATTGAAATTTGTTTTTTTATGTTCATACAATAATCTTACATGAGTAATATTATAGTAGTTTGATTTATTATAATGTCTTCGGGAACAAAGTTCATCTCACATACTTTTAGTTACTTTCCTATCGACTCAAGGAATTTTCGTATTCCGTTAGCTATCATATCCTAAAAATTAATGTTATAATATTTGTGAAAAAACGCAGTAGGAACAAAGTATTTAATTTTAACTATCACACTAAAAATGTTTAGTCACTCGTCAAAATATTTTACTAAAGGATTATTAATTTTTCAATATTAGTATTATATGTTTTATTTATTATGTATTTTTTAAAATGGTTTAAATAAAAATTGTACATTAACAAGTTAATCAATGCTAGAAACCATAACTTGATCAACGAATAAACATATTAAGTAAATTAATCGTTCACATTAAACCTTGAACATATTTTTAGATGGAATATCAACTTAAAATAACCATTTGAGTTACACTATAATGATGTAAAAAATGAGTTATATATTTATTTATCAGTTAAGATGACGTGGCTATTCGGTGTGAGCAAGCATAATTAGTTTTTATCAACCTATGGAAACTGTCTTTGACCACACAAGAAGAATTTAGAAAAAAATAATTATTTACTAATACCGACTAGTTGAGAGGTAAAAATATTATCAATATTTTAATAGAATATAACAAAAATACATTTTTGAATTGTGATTTTATTTTTAAACAATATAAGTAACTTACAATGTGCGTTGTTTAATAGAGATTTTATTTTTATAAAAAAATGTTTTATATATTTCTGGACATTTAGATTTTCTTGAGGATAGATAATATTCACAAGTATCAATTTTATGGAATTATCCAGGTGAACCGTTAATGGGCCAAACATAATTTCAGGTATATCAAGGTCCATTTGGGTTTCGCACAATAATAGTTGTTAAATGTTACTAAGTTTCTAATTTTCTAATTTTTATTTATGAAATGTGTTTTCACCCATTTTAGCATATCTAACACACTCTTAGGGTTCGGTAAACGGTATTGAGCGAAGGTGTCAAAATTATCAGTTTCAGCTACGCGGAATGTAACACCCGTGAATGCCAATGCCTATAAGCGAATACACAATGATGACTTAGTTATTATAAAATTATTTTAAAAATTGTGAATTACCTCCATAGCATATTCGTCATTCACATCATCTCCAACATAAATTATAGCAATTTCCCTCCAATTTTCTGGGAAGAATTTGTTTAAAATGTACAAAGCTGCTTGCCCTTTGTCCCATTCTACATTACTAGGAATTATTTCAATAGCGCAATGGGCATTACCCGCTTTAAACCCAGCGTCTAAAATGAGATGCCGAGCTCTTTCCATCAGTTTAGCATGTAAAACTTCAGGTGCAGCACGGTAATGGTAGGTCAGCGTAGGTCCTTTGTCTTCTACCCAATCACTATGTTTGCAAAGCTAAAAAATAAAAAATAAATATTTGCATTGCCCAGCTAGGAATACCGAAAAGTGGCGACAAAGCAAAAAAATATACAACTTTCAATGCTTTCTTAGCTCCATATTGTGAACTATGAAATGCAGTGTTTGTTGTAATGAACGGCATGTCTTACATACCTGGGCTTGGAGAGTTTCTATCAATTTTTTTAATTTTTCTTGATCCTCTTCGGATATTGGATATTTAAATTCGCCACCATCGGGAAAACTAATGTCAAGGCCAGTGTTACCAGCATAAGTCAAACCTTCGACACCGATCTAGAATGATTTAAATTATCTGTATTACATTATATCTAACGCAAAATACACAATTTCATTAACGAACCATATTTTTAAGATCACCTAATCCTCGTCCCGAAATTATTGCTATTTTCACATTTGGCATTCCGGCCAATGTTTGTAAAACATTTTTAGTCTCATCGGGTATTATAGCCATTTCAGGACTTTCAACGATTGGAGTTAATGTTCCGTCGTAGTCCAAAAATAATACTATCTTATTTCGGTCTCCAATGTAGCTAACAATTCCCATTTGAATTAAAACCTATTGTAATAGTTTAGATGTACAAGTATTTACCCGGATAAGCAATCATCGAAGTTGTTTACAGCTGGTGGTCGCCTTGTAGTTGGCTCATCGTCTTCTTTTTTAACTATAAATATGCCAATAAGTACACAGTCTACATTATATAGTCTACATTACTTACAATATTATATTTTTATACTTTTAAACCTTCCGGGTTTTATGGACATATATATTATACAGTATTAAAGCTGGATCTAATATTATTTTTTTATATTGTATAGCTGATTATACAATAGAAGTAGCGACAAGAACCGACGATTTAAAGCAACCTAACCATTGGGCCTGTGAATAAATCGGAACAAATAAAATATTTAGCTTTTTATAAAAAACCAAAGGACGTATCAAATATCTAGTTCTAGAAAATTATAGCTTTCAGAAAGTGAAAAATTTCAAATTTGGGAGTGAATATAAATCAACAATATAATATGCATATCACTAAAAGAAATAACGCCTGCCATAGGATTAAAATTTGTGTGATTCGATAGGTTTATGTAAGTAAATTTAGTATGTTTGCGAACTTGATGTATAAATAAAATGTTATTCCTTTGTATAAATAATATAAGCATGATCTATAGGATTTAGATTGTAGTTTACAATGTAATATCTTACAGTATTCTTTAACGTGTTTTTTGTAAAATGTTCAAAAATGTTCCCTAGTAGTTATATATATATATATTATACAGGGTGATCATTTTATCGTGAATCACTCAATATCTCATAGGGTTTAATAAAATTAATTAGTTAATATTTATCTAAAACAATAATAATGTTCCATACATATTATAACATTACAATGTATATTATTACGTGCTCACCTGCTTTACTTTTACCGCTACCGGCGTTAACAACTAAAAAAAAAAAAAAAAATGTTATCGTTAACCACTCAATGTCACATAGGGTTTAATAAGAAACTATGTATCATAATAATAATATACCATTACAATGTATAATATTACGTGCTCACCTTTTTTACGTTTACCGCCATTAACAACTAAAAGAAATAAAAAGTTATTTAAAAAGTAGGTCACTTATGTCATAAGTCGCTTTGTTGATAAAACATATCTATTTTGTCCAAACACAAAGTTTGATAAAACAATAACAAGCTAGAAGCTCAAGCTTACATAATATTATGAAAAGCAAATCATACACAATAACAATGTGAAAGACAAATAAAATTATACGTTTATTACCCGATAACGATAGAATGAAAATCGCTGCTATTGTAACTGAAATACAAATTGATTTAGAAAATGCCATCATATATTTTGCTTATTCCGACCGTCAGTTTGTGGTGTTAACTGTTCAGTTATCTAACAAGAAGAAGAGTAAAACTATGGACTGATACACTACTATTTATATAAACTACGTGTCTACGATATAGATAAAGCAATGACACAATTTTGCCTCGCAATGTGCAAAAACATGTTGTTTTAACGACCTATTTAATTGTTCACACAACATTAAAGGTTAAAATTTAAGACGGGAGGTGGAGTGCGGTAGAGTAAGCGCGTGGAGATTTTTTATCTGCACGCATTACCGCACTCCACCTCTCATCCAACACTTAAATACTTAAACTTAAATAACTCTTAAAGCTATTATCCAAAATTAGTTACAATAAAATCTTGATTCTTGAAAAATAATTTAAAAAGTAAAACAATTTAGAGCCACTAAAAGTTAAAACCGTGGTGTTTATAACGCAAATGAGTATAAATTAATTAAAAAAAAAATATATTAAAAATATTTTCTAGAACAAAAGTTATTTCATTTGTGAGATACGCTGCATATTTTTGTTTTATATGTACTAAATATTAAAAAATTATACATTTTCGGATATCCTTTCATCATTAATGCTCACTTGTAAACCTCTCCGGGCACTCTGTCTTGTCTTGCCTTTTTGAAATCTTTCAATAACCATACCTAGGTTGTCCTTGTTCCTTCTATACCTACTTTACTACAAGCTGGCTCACACAAAACACTGCACCGGTTCCATCGTTGATTTACCTGTCGTAAAACCAAACCCGTTTTAAAATACGATTTAAATAATTATTTCTTTTTTGGAGACTGGTGAGTACTTAATTAATCATGATCTGTTTTATTTGTTAATTATTTATATCCATTATTTAGCCCATATCTAAAACAATAACTATTTAATTTATTGATTTTTTAGGGTGTCTATTTCATGCAAAACGCGCCCATAGAGCTTCGCCGTCTGTCGTGGAGTGTCCCTTATATCGTCTTCTGATTGACCGTTGTAATCATGGAATCATTAAGTAACCATGACCTAGAGTTGGACCGAGCTCTGATAGGCTCTCTGATAATATCTCTATTATTTACAAGGTTATCATTTTGAATCACTCAATATATCATAGGGTTTAATAAGAAATTGAATTTGATTTTTTTTCCATAAGGTTGTCGTCTTGTACAATGTGATCTCACTTTTTACCAATTTTGTTGTTTTTACCAACCACCCAACTTAGTTTTTTTGATAAAAACTTTTGAAACTTTAATGTTAACGCATACATTTTATTGACTTTTAAATTGAGAATAATGTACTAAACATTTTGACTGTTGTTAACCGGTTTTGGATAACTATTTTTGAAGTTATCAGAGTTTAGGGCAGGAGGAAAGGTGGAGTGTAGTATTATTTTTATTTGAGCGTACTTAACCCCCCCCCCCCGGCTCCCACCCTAACTTCTAAACTCTTATAACTTCAAAAATGGTTGTTCAAAACTCATTATCGACCAGTAAAAATGTTCAGAAAATTATTTTTAATTTAAAAAAGTTAATGAAGTATATACGTTACCATTTAAGTTTCAAAAGTTACAACATTTTTATCTTAACTTACAACATATTTACAAATTGAAAATGTAATTATTATGTTACTAGAGACTAAAGATTATGTCCTATTAGGTATATAATTATTACATGCAGTTTTCGTGCCAACTAGTAAAAATCCAGTACAGTGGGGTAAGGGAGGTCACAGGTTAACAGGGTTATTACATCTGAAAGTGATAAAATCAAAATAAGCATCAAAGCGTTAATTTGAAAGTGATTTTATCCAAGAGGACTAGTACAGTAGAGTATCGGCTTAATGGAATCAAAGCATAGAGGGGACGGAGAGGTCACAGGTCTACAGGAAGCTTTTATCGATAATATAAAAAAAATAGTTATGTTCAAAATTTGTAGGCAAACATTGAAACTAGGTGGTTGTAGGTGTTCAGGCACCATCCTAACAGAGAACGAATTTGTTTGATTATGTTTTCAAACTAACAAAATTCAAAAGTTTCAACTTTACATTATTGATTCACTCAAACAGAGCAACCTAGAAATTAACTACGGTCAAAGTGTGATTTTCATGTGAAAGGAATATCACGAGAGTGAAATATGTGTATTACATAGCCCCGTTATCGTAGATCTTTCTGCAGTCTAAATTCTAGTCCTTAAAATCAAAACCTAAATATAAATATAGAAAAAGTCGCCAACTCTTCTGGTGGAATAGCTTTTTGATATTTTTTTGGTTTGTTCATGTTTATTGTTAGTACTTTATCTTTATAACAGTCCATACAAATTTAGAACTAATTCGATTATTTTTGTTGAAGAATTATGGGTTATAAACACCAAAAAGTCTCAAAAATTTTAAAATTCATATGAGATATCCTGTATGTATTGGTTTATAATGAATACACAATAATACTAACGTTAATGAAATATATTGTAGCCTAGAAAAGTGCTAATGGTAATATTTTAGTTTTTATACGAGTTTGAGAACGCATTGGTCATACGATGAATGATGATGTGTTTTTCTTCTGATCTAAAGTCTAAACACAACATTTTAAAAAGTAAACTATTAAAATAGTTTACACCTCATTTCAAAAACGGATTTAATTTAGGAATAGATTATTTTTATTTTTTTTAATGTAAATGTTGTTATAACTTCAATATTATCCAGTTGAGTTATAGGAAGTAATAAAATAAATACTAACGAAATGTAAGAGCAAAATGATTTATTAATCAATCAAGACTACATTTTTGTATGTGTCATACTATATAGTACACACACGCATTAATTTTATAAATTAAAATGTAATTGTTGACTAATGTTGCGAATCATATCATCTTTTGTCCAAAAAAGAAACGTGAGTCCTAAAAGTACAAAGTATTATACATTTTTTAATCAAACGAATCAGGCCAATTCAACGACAAATATATTGAGAAAAAATATGTTTTCCATTTACAGAAGATTATTTGTTCAAATTTTCGTAATTGAAGAATAATAATGTAATATTACATGATACATTTCATTTTGATAAAAAAGTATATAATTTATAGTTGTGCAATTAATGATAGACTATATTATTAAAATGTCTAGTTTTTAAAAAAATTTCTCAACATATTTATTAAATATTTTTCTATTGTGTATTACTTATCATTTGCGCTATCAATATTTGAAGTGTACGAGGGGATGTATCCCTATACCTAGCTTGTGCTGCTGCTTGAACGAGAAAACCTAGTTGAACAAACTTTATTTGAGACCCATATTGAGTGGAATCGTATAAATGTCTTACATACCCCTATTGTTATTAGAATAAAAATAGACATTAAAATGTGCATTACAATTTACAAATAAAACATTTTAAGCAAAAAAATAGGAACGTTAAAAATATAGGATTCATTTTCTAAAACAATAATTTACATTTTGCATATATAACAACAATAATCTAAGAAATGTATTTATCATACATTTTATACACTTATTATACGTATAAGAATAAATAAAACCAATTTTGCATAGAATAATTGAAAGTTTGAATTAGTGCCTGTAATTTTAAACGTGTAATTTAAATACACGTGTACATGAACCCCGTGTAATTAACATACACGTGTAATTATAAATACATGTGTATTTAAAAAAAAATTATTTTGTTAAAAATTTTAGTTTGAGTTAACGTATTTATACAATTATACTTGTGTTCGAGTTCGTATAATTAAATAGACGTGATATTAAACGTGAAACTAAAATTAATAACAAAAATAATTTTTTTTGAATACATGTGTATTTATAATTACACGTGTACATACACGTGTAATCGAATACACGTGTAATAGGAACCTCTAGTTTGAATACTTCAAATAAACCTAATCTAACCAACCTTTAAACTGTAATATAGTAATTTTAGTTTTATATTTACCGCCGATTCATCGTCACCTAGAAACATTTGGGTGTAAATTACACATTCTTCTTTCGTAAAATAACTGTCTGAAAGAATACAAAATTGTATATATTAAAAAAAAAATGACATACGGCAAATTTAACAGCAAAGGATTTGAGTGTAATATTGTGTTACAATATTTTATTTTTAATATTATAGCAACTCTGTAAATTAAAAATGTTATCTAGTTAGTACTTGGGGAAGGGGGTAGTAAATTGAAAAAGTTAACTTCTACTGAAACATTTTAAATTAAAAAAAACAAACCGTACGAGTTTTAATGTTTGTACAAGTCCTCTAGGATAAAACCACTTTCAAAAAAACGCATTGATGCTAATTTATAAATATCGCACCTCACATCAATTAGTTCTTACTAATAAGTAATATATAAAAGTATAATTTATTGTTTTTTTCCAATTCATTTTATGATTTACTTTTAATTTCAATGTTTGATACTAAATTTTTCTTTAGAACAATACAAGAAATAAATATACAATTTGAGGATCTCTGTAAAGGTTTGGTTTCGTTTTGTACATTGTCAAGCTAGTAAAATAGAAGTATATTAGAGCTATGAAATAGTTTAATCTATGAAGTATAAAGAGTTAGTGTGCGATTACTCTAATGAAAGCACATAATACATAAATATTATTTTTATTGAGAATAAGCGATTATAATTTAAGTTATGGAGTACAAACGGTTGAAACATGAATCACCTACCATTCCAAAAAAATTTAACAAGGGTTTAATTATGTGTTATTTGGGCCACAATGATTTTGACGGGAAGTCACAGGCTTACAGGAATTATTACAACTAAAAGTATTAAAATCACTTTCAAATAAACACTTCGATGCGAATCAGTAGTTAGTATCTTTAAATCAGTAAAGTCTAAACCAAGCACAGTATAAACAAGCATAGTAAAAAAGAGTTAAAATGAACTGTAGTGTTTATAAATTAGCATCAAAGCGTTTGTTTGAAAGTAATTTAATCCGAGAGGACTAGTACAGTAGCGTCGAGGAATAATGTAATCAAAGCATAGCGGGGACGGAGAGGTCACGGGTCTACAGGAAGCTTTATTGATAAACGTCATAAAATCACTTTCAAATAAACACTTTGATGCTATTTGTAAGCACTGCGCCTCACTTAAATATTTTTTTACTATGCTTGGTTTGAATTTTACTGGTTTGAAAATTCTATCCACTGATTCGGATCGAAGCATTTATTCGAAAGTAATTTTACCATATTCAGTTGTAATAATTCCTCTAAACCTGTGTCCTCCTCGGCTCCACTATGTCCGGGTCGGAGCATAGTGGGGCCGAGTACAGTGGGGTCGCATTGTACTGTCTTTTTTTAAAATCTGATTATGTATCTCATGTTTTGCTAATATTTTTGTATGCACCAAAAATTGTTTCGTCATTGACAGTTATTTAATGTGTTCGTAATTTATGACTACAATGTACAGTTTTACAAATGATAGACTTGATTATTAAAATGTCTTTTTAATAGATATGTACATTTTTTTCAACATATTTATTGAATATTATCATATTATTCTTTACCTATTATTCTCGCTTCTACAGCATCACGGTTGAAGTAATTTCCAATTGCGCGTGTCTCCCTTTTTACTTGGGCAACTACTTGTAATAGCCCATCGTAACTCAGGCCAGCCCTCATGTTATGCGCATTGACTATTCTTGTTATTGTGTTCTGTTGTTATAAGAATACAAATTACTCATTTAATTGTATAATACAATTTGCAAGTTTAACTAATCCTTCTTTAACGAAAAAAACAATGCGTAACTACCAGACATATTAAATGGCTTGCAAATTTGTTCAGCATAATAACATAAATTTCATATTAGTTAACGTTTTTTTGTTATTGTTATCAAAAATTGGTTATAAGTGAAAATATTACTTAAAAAACTCTTCGGTGCGAAAATGGAGGTTGTTTAAACATTAAAGTATTTTTCTAAACTATACATTACATTTTGTACACTGTTAAGCAACAATCTTAGGTATTTTATTATTAATAATTAATCAGTACTCGTTATTCTTACAAGTTGATTTTGATTAGGACGAGCATCTGAACATTTCGAAAAATACAATGCCACGCAAAAAAACAGTATCATGGTTTTTGAAAACATTTTAAATATTCGAACAATAAACTTGGATTTAGAATATTTAACTAAGTTTGTAACTATTGAACCGTGAACTTCGCTTTAAGCAACAGATACTTAAGAACGTTGTTATTTGCGTTGTATGGCATTTATAGTAAACGCAATCCCTAACTGTTATTTTTTATGTACTTACCACATTTTAAAACTGTTTAGTTATGTGTAAAATATATGCATATATTTTCAACGATTATCGGTAGTGCCGCATCTAAAGAACATATTTAGAATAATCTAGAATGGAACAATAGTCAATAACAAGAACAAACAATTTTCTTAAAAATCTGTTGCTAACCTTTTGTTTAAGAAAAACTGTGAAAAATAAACCTAATACCTAAAAAGAGGGGTCACATTTTATCCCCTTTGGATCGATTTACTCGAGTATCATCTCTACATATCCGAAATAGTTTGTGATTATTGGTACTTTGGTGTACCATAAAAAGAAAAATCGACTTCTTCGCCCCCAAAAACTAACATCGTCGAAAATAAATTGCCGGATTTTAAACTTCGAACTTTAACTCACTAGATCTTAGTGAAAAACGGTCGGATCGAAGCGCAATTTTTATAGAACATTTATAAGGCATGTCTCTATCCCCAAATAGCCACAAATCAAACTTCGATAGCCCTGCATTCTAACCCCCTCCCCCCAAAGGTTGAATCTTTTTTTGGTTTAAAACTAAAGAGCTGAAAATTAGTCTGAAGATAGGTCTATATATATCTGTAACTTGTAAAAAAAGATATAATACAAAATCATAATTTTTTTTAAACATGTCTATGTAAGATATACAAATGTTAAATGGATTAACCTGTGCCAATAAAAAATACGAAAAGTAAACATATACATATACTTTTGCAAATGACAATAAAATATTATAATTCCCAGATTCAATATTTCATAGGGTTTAATAAGAAATTAACAATTTTTTTCCATATTGCTTTCATACAATCTGATCAAAATTGTTCACAAATTATTTAATTTTTACTCTCCCCTTCAACTCAGTTTTTATTTTATATCAACTTTTAAAACTTATTACAAATGTTGATTGGTCGATAACTAGTTTCAGAGAACTATTTTTAAAGTTATAAGGGTTTTAAAACTAGGATGGGAGGATAAGTGCGCAGATAAAAATAATACTCCACTCCACCTTCCTCTTGCCCTAAACTTGAAACTTAAATAACTTCAAAAATAGTTATCCAAAACTGGTTATCGACCAGTCCAAGTTTTTAGTACATTATTCTCAGCTTAAAAAGTTAATAAAATATATACGTTACCATTTAAGTTTCTAAAGTTGTTATCAAAAAAACTAAGTTGGGAGGGGGGTAGAAACAAAAAAAATTGTGAAAATTGAGATCACATTATATAAAAACAATATTAAAAAAAAATTTGTAATTTGTTTGTAAGCCCTATAAGATGTTGAGTGGCTCGTGATAAAAAAATCACTCTGTACTATAATGCAATGGAGATCAGGCTGTAATGTCAAAACACGAGTAAAAACGTCGAGTAATTTTCTGTTTAAGAGACATGGTGTAGTGCAGTGGACACCTCAGCTGCCACGAAGAACCTGAGGTTAAGCTGTGTCCAAAAACACAAATCAACCAACAGCATATTGTGTTGCCTATAAATTAAGGTGATTAAGCGACTATACCAAAAAAACAAAGTTGGTCCAACCAAAACTATGGTTAATTTAATGGCATAATACATTTCTAGTTGGACTGACTTACTAAAAACTTGATCCTACTTAAATACGCATACTATAGTGGCACAATACATTTCTAGTTAAATAACTAAATAACAAGTTGTTCTACCAAAATATTTAATTAGGCCAACTAAAAATAATCGTGTCCCTACATTAACCATAGTTTAAGTTAGACCAACTATATTATATTTTTTCTGTGTAGGAGGATGGTATGCAAATCAATTATAAAGATATATCGAATACTAGCCAAATTACCCGGCGTTTTCCGGAGAAATATTGTGATTAGATAACCATCATCACACGAAGCCAAATGAATTTATGTTGTTTTACGCACCCTCCACCACCGTTACGTCGTCGTGCTGATGGGTATGTCGAACCCCTCCCTCCCGTCTAATCTTAAGGAAATATATAAAGGCAACCAGTGCGGCGTAATTCACAGTGTCTATAGTATATTTGTTGTCCTACTATGTTTCGCAACACTCTTTTTGGGTGTAACTCACTGTAAAAGCAATGTCTTTTAAAGTGTAAATCAACCAAAATAACGTTTGTAATAGAGCCTTAAACATATATAACGTCCAACATATAAAACCATTGAAAAATATAAATAAAAAATATCTATCTCTGTATTCAAATTTTGTCTCCAAACCCTTACAGGTCTGTTGTTTTTCTTAAAACGTAATAAGACTGAATTAAAATTAATAGTATAAAAATAATAATTGATATGAAAGCTTATAAACAATGAATAATATAAGTTTATCACAAAAATCATATGTTTAACATATCATAAATATTATAATCATGATAAAGATATAAATAACTTGCACTCTCTTGAATTTGAATGGATAATTTGATGGAATCATGTGTATACGAGGAATAAAAACTGATTTGCCATTTGCAAAACCAGTGCAATTATTAGCTTCTATAAGATTATTCTGAAGAGCAATTACACGAAGGCGTGTACCATTGAATAACTTAGGCAGGCAAACATTTCTTAGAATCATTATAGGAGTACCAACTTTTAAAGTTAGCAAATGTCGCGGGAGTCCAGGAGAATTATCTACTGAATAATTAACTGCATTATCTACTTCTAATACTGAATTTACAGATGTGTATTCATGGTTTCTGTATTACATGGTTCACAGGCATAATTGCAGAGTTGGCAAATTTAGTAATTGTAAATGTTTTTAAAAAGGAAAACTAAAAATTAGAATTATTTTAGAAAAAAAGTGTGTTATCCTTAATGTATAATGTGTATTCCACATAAAACATTTATTTGGTATATCTATACCATTGATTTGTAAACCGTCTTCCTAGAGAGAAAAAAATATATAGTTGATCCGACTTCAACTATAGTTAAATTTGCAAATTAAGTAATTGTAAAAGTTTTTAAAAAAGGAAAACTAAAAACTAGAATTATTTTCAAGAAAAAAGTGTTTTATACTTAATGTATTTTGGGTATATAACATAAGACATATTTTTAAATCTATACCATTGCTATGTTTACTACCCTCTTCCACAGAAAAAGTATATTATTGGTCCAATTTAAACTATATTAAGACAAGATTAGCTTTTATAAGGCCGAAATAAATGTTTTGTTAATTAGTTATTTGAACTAGAAATGAATTCGGCCCCTATACTATTTGTACTTTTAGTGGGGTCAAATTTTTAAAAACTCAGTACAACTATAAATGTATTGTGTTCTCAAACTAACCATCATTTTGGTTGGACCGACATTGTTTTTTTTCAGAACGTAACTTATTCACCTTAATGTATATGTTAAATTATTTATTTAAACATCTTGACTCATTTTTTCGAAAAATATTATGAATATTTAAAATATTCTACAATTATTTCATGCAACGATAACCAAAATTGTTTACTGCCAATGATATAATTTATCCGACTTAAGTGTTTTTAGAAACATGGTAGTATGTGCTGTTATTTTCTAAATATTATTGCCATTTGCGTCATACTTTAAAAAATCTGTTTCTATATAGTTTGAATAACATTTGTTAAATAATGTATATTATATTCAATTGAATATTTTTTTGACACATAAGTTTGCAAATTTAGTAATTGTAAATGTTTTTTAAATAGGAAAATTAAAAATTAGTATTATTTAAAAAAAAAAAGTGTTTTATCCTTAATGTATTATGTGTATTCCACATAAAACATTTATTTGATATATCTATACCATTGATTTGAATACCGTCCTCCTAGAGAAAAAATATATATAGTTGATCCCACTTAAAATATGGTTCATGTAGGGACATGATTAATTTATAGTTGGCCCAATTAAATATTTTATTAGAACAACTTGTTATTTAGTTATATAAACTAAAATAGTATTAAGCCCCTATAATATGCGTATTTTTAGTGGGATCATATTTTTAATAACTCAGTACAACTAGAAATGTATTGTGCCCTCAAGTTAACCATAAATTTGGTTGGACCGACATTGTTTTTTGTAGAACGTAACTTATTCACCTTATTTTATAGGTTAAATTATATTTCAACATTTTGAAATAATAATTGTGTTCGAAAAACTTGGAATATTTAATAATTTTAACAATATTTTCATGCATAGCTAACCAAAATTGTTTACTGTCAAAGATATAATTCATCCGGCTCAAGTGTTTTTAGAAACATGGTATTATGTGCTGTTATTTTCCAAATATTATTGCCATTTGCGTCATACTTTAAAAATCTGTTTCTATATAGTTTGAATAACATTTGTTAAATAATGTATATTATATTCAATTGAATATTTTTTTGACACATAAGTTTGCAAATTTAGTAATTGTAAATGTTTTTTAAAAGGGAAAATTAAAAATTAGTAATTTTTTAGAAAAAAAAAGTGTTTTATCCTTAATGTATTATGTGTATTCAACATAAAACATATATTTTGATATATCTACACCATTGATTTGTATACCGTCCTCCTAGAGAGAAAATATATATAGTTGGTCCCACTTAAAATATGGTTTATGTAGGGACACGATTAATTTATAGTTGGCCCAATTAAATATTTTATTAGAACAACTTGTTATTTAGTTATATAAACTAAAATAGTATTAAGCCCCTATAATATGCGTATTTTTAGTGGGATCATATTTTTAATAACTCAGTACAACTAGAAATGTATTGTGCTTTCATATTAACCATAAATTTGGTTGGACCGACATTGTTTTTTGTAGAACGTAACTTATTTACCTTATTTTATAGGTTAAATTACATTTCAACATTTTGAAATAATAATTGTGGTCGAAAAACTTGGAATATTTAATATTTTTAACAATATTTTCATGCACAGCTAACCAAAATTGTTTACTGTCAAAGATATAATTCATCCGG